TAGTATTTTCCTTAAACTATTTAAAGCTAAGCAATGTTACTCTTGTTGTTTAAAAGTTTGCTACTATAACTGGTAAGATTCACTTTTTATGAATTAAGGTGCAATTTTACTTCTAAACTATTATCAAAGGAACAATATTGTTCTCACCATTTTAAAAATCATAGATGTCTATTAACTAAAGCTAATAAGACCCAATTTTCATTATCTTTCTCTAGCAATGATTTAAAAAACAAACCAAACTGGATAGTCGGATCATCAATTGGAGCCATTAACGGCCTGATTTGAACTAAAAAACTATTTTAATGATTGAATCAGATTAGATAGGAGTTAAGCTATTATTAATTTAGAAAACTGAAGTTGAATCAGGAACCGAAGCTGTTTTCAAAATATCGGATGATTTTAAACATAATATTAAAAAAAGCTTAAAAAATTTAAAAAATAGAAAAATGTAAAAAATAAATCACACTAAAAGCTAATTTTATTTTTAGATAATTTTCATGTATAAAATATGATTTGGGACTTTTTTTTTATAAAGATGTTGATAGTTATAGTTGTAAATGCAGATACTATTATAAAGATATAAGTAGACTCAAAAGTATTATCATTTGTATCTATAACTATCAACATCTGCATATGAAAAAAAGGCTCCAAATCATATTTTATATATGTAAATTGTTTAAAAATAAAGTTAGCTTTTAGTAGAATCTAATTTTTAATTTTTCTATTTTTTTTAAAATTAAGTTTTTTAATATTTTGTTTAAAACTATCCGGTTTTTTAAAAACCACTTTAATTTCAAGTTCAACTTTGGCTTAATAGTAACTTAACTCTTGTCCAATCTAACTTAATCATGAAAATAATTTTTTGGTCCAAACCGAGCTGTTAACAGCTTTGGTCGATGGTCCAACTGTCCGGTTCAGTTTGATTTTCAAATCATTGCCAAAGAGATATAATGAAAATTGGGTCTTACTAGCTACAATTAACAAATATTTATAATTTTTAAATGACAAGGGTAACATTACTCTTCTGAGAATAGTTCAGAGGTGAAATTTCACCTTAACTTAAAAAAATGAGCTTCACCAGTTACAATAATGGATATTTATATAGTGGGAGATAACATTATTTTGATTTAATTAATTTAGGAGCAACATTGCTATAATAAGTAATTTAAAAAAATATTGTTTCTTTAAAAATAATTTAGAGATAAAATTATATCTTAATTCAAAAATAATTTTAAAATGAATGACAAAAATCAATTGATGATAAAAAAGCTCATATGAGCCTTTGAGCTAATGAGCACGCCATGCTCATCATAGCATGGAATGTTATAAAGGATTCTTAATAGACTCTTCTTTTTTTTTTTTTTTTTTGAGTGAAAAGGAGAATTCGTGGACTGAAAAGATCAACTGTACAAGCAAAGGCCTTAAAATAGAAAAGAAACAGGCCAAACAATTACTACATCAAACTGCTCAAAATAGAGAAAGCTTTAATAGTATGATCTACTATAATGCTAACATCACGTAGAATACCATCAGCAGTCATTCCCCAGCAAAAATGCCCAAGGTTTCTGGCACACTCCAATCGTCCAAGAAACATCATTGTGAGTGTTTAGAAGGAGATGTATCAGCCAAACTTCAAAATTTTTCTTAGAAAAATCAGCATACAAGTCAATTTGGCAGGATTTTTTTCCAGACAGAAGTAGCAAGAGAACAGTCTTTCGGAAATATGCTCGATGGATTCCCGAGCCGCAAGGCATAAAGATCAAGATTGATCAAATGTTAAGGTCCTATGAAATTGTTCTCGATTAGTGAGCAGCTTCGCCTTAAGAAGTAACCACAAGAAGGTTTTGATTCGTTGCAACATAGGGAGTTTCCATAGGCTCTTCCATTTCACTTCATGGGTATTCCAATTCGTAAGGTAAGTAAACACAGAGAAGGATTTGACACTGAATTTCCCATTTGCTTTGAGAGACCAGGGACATGTGGGTTGCTCAAGGCCATGAACATTAGGGGAAACAACAGCAACATCTCCTGGGATCTCTCGAGGGAAGGGGCGCCTAAAAAGGGACCATTTCCATTGACTAGTATCAGTTAAAAAATTTGAGATTGGCTGGGTAAGTTCTAAAGGAGGAAGATCAACAAAAGCTAAGTTTTTTAAAGGACCCATATCTCCTACCCAATAATCAAACCAAAATTTAAGGCCGTTACCATTACTCAGACTCCATTTGACATGGAGCATTGTGTCTTTATATTCCTCTAGAGGTAGGAAGACTTACATCTGGATATATCCTGTGGGAATCTGTCCGTCAAACGATATTTACCCCTAAAAACTTGTACCCAAAGTGTGTAGGGTTTAGAGACAATTTTATAAGCAAGCTTGGAAATGAAAGCTTTGTCCTGGGCTTCCAAACTTAGCAGACCACGTCCTACATTAGCTAAAGGTTGACAAAGTTCAGGCCATTTTACGAGGTTAATACCCCTATGGTCATCTCTATCATTCCACCGAAATTTCCTGATTACCTTCTCAATGGCCTTGCTATTCGGTGGGGGAAGTAAGGTGCTCTGTGTGGTGTAGAGTGGAATGGAGCTAAGGACTGATTTCGCCAAAGTGATTCGGCCAGCAGGAGAGAGTGATTTACTCTTCCATTTCAGCCATTCCAGAATATAATTGTAGGTAGTAGAGGTAACTTGGCCACTAATAAGTGGAACACCCAAGTAACGTCCCAGGGAATCGGTGCGTTTAAACTTTAAACCCAAGCTTGGAGCAAATGGGACGAGTAGAGGTGAGATTGACATTCTTAAAAAAATAAACTTTAGTTTTAGACTTACTAACTGTCTGCCCAGAGGAGGCACAAAACTGTTGGAACATCTTATTTATAATCTCAACATGAGCATCAGAAGTGTTACCAAATAGAATTAGATCATCTGCATAGAAGAGGGACACCTTGTTGTAGACTTACTAACTTTTTTAAAAAAAAATTAGAGGGACAAGGCATAAAATTATAAGCAAGATTGAATTGCATCCTATTTACAAATACATGTCATTAGGCTACAAGATTATTCATCTTCCATTCATCTTCAAGTGTTTTCCTGTCTAATAAGTGGTTCTATCAATTTAATGACTAATGTGCTAATGAATTTTTTATATATTTATGTTAAATTATATCCTCTATATTCAAAGTTTTTAATTAAAAATTTGTAAGTAATAAATTTATTTTTGATGGGAGAATGATGGTAAAATTTAAAAAGAATGAATTAATTATAATTAGGTCCTCGACAAAATTTTTATTAAATAAATTATAAATATCAATTAAAACGGTTAAAAATAAGAATTTGACTTGTAAACTAATTGTTATATTTAGACTTTAAATATTATATTTGCAATTGAAATTTACAATTATTTAAATTAATATTTACAATTGATTTTTCAAAAAAATTTATTAGGAACCTAACTGTTATTAATTTTTTCTTTTGAGATTTAATTGTTATTTTTTCTTTTTTATAAGATGATGTTTAGAAAATTATTTTATTTTGAATTTGCACTTATAGTTAATTTAAAACATTATCTAAAATGAAAAAATAAAAATAATATTAAATTTAGACTATCTAGTTTTAGATAATTTATTAAATTAATGATAGATTTAAAATTTAAAATAAAACCATTTTTATAACCATCATTTTATTAGTTAAAATTTATAATATAACATAAAATAAATTGGATACATTGGCCATTGGCTAAAAAATGTTATACCCAGAAGATATGAATTAAAGTTTTAAAAATTAAAAAATATGGCCGAATCACAATGATATACAAAAAATTTATTTTTGATATGCAAAAAATTTATCATTAATATATAAATGGTTTATCATTGAAAATTTGACAATATATGAGGGATATATCATTGATATATAATGGTATATCATTAACAAATATAATAAATTGATCATAATATAAAATATAATAAATATTTTGCTGTTTGCTTTATTTGATCTGACAATATAAGTTACATATGTAAAAACTTTTAAATAAGTTCAAGTTGTAAGTGTTAAATTTTGAATTGCAAATTCTTAAGTATTTGTCATGAATAAAAAGCCCTAAATATTTTTAAGAAAAATCACATTCAAGTACTACTCAAAAAAAATTATTTATAAACAAAAATTAATACGAAATTAATTATTATTAAAATGAGAACATAACTTTTTTTCTCTAATAAAATTTATTATTAATTTTTATCTCTAAATAATTTGTTTGAGTAGTTTTTAAATATAATTTTCTTTTTTTTTAAGGGTCATCACTCATCATTTCTCAGAAAAATATTTGTAGAGGACTTTTAATGTTTAGCAAAATATTGTTTTTTTATATATATAAACAAATTTTTCTTTAATTTAATCATGTGTTTACAAGATACACTCTTTTTCATTTTTGGTATAAGTTAAAATGAAAATAAATTTTATGGATAACTTCGATATACTCCAACCGTTTAAAAATATAAAATATTTTTTAAAAAATTAAATGTTAAAAAATATAAGATATTTTTTAAGTTTTTTGAAGTGTAATCATTATTTTTTTAAAATGTCCTTATTGATAATGACTTTATATTTATTGTAAGATATTTAATAGAGATAAATATTAAAAAATAAAATTAATTAAAAAGTAAGTAATTACTTTATTAAAAGTTAAAATTTAACTATAAATATTTTATAATTTTAAACGAAAGTAGTACATTTTTTAAAATTTAAGTATCCACATGAATTAATAATATTATTATTATTATTTGGACGAAGATTATGATTATGATTATACGCAATTTACACTACTTTATAATGTTCTTTACTTATGTATTACTTTTTATCAATTGCATTGTAAATAAAACAATGCTTCCAACTGTTATTATGTTAGACTTAACGAAATTATTCATTCTATTTGCTGGCCAAAAAAAAATGAAAACAAAATTATTGTTAGGCTTTTCTTACCAAAAAAAGAAGCCAGGTCAAGAGAACGCCCGCAGCCAAGAAGATGAGAAGAAAGCCCTATTACGGACGAGTTTGATCGAAGGAAAGGAGATTAAGGGGGACGTGCGACGGAGGCGATTCGGTGACAACGCCTGAACGGTGAGAGCTAATCTTGAAGCAATCGTGCTATTGGACCGATTCCCCTAATGTATTTTTCAATTTCCGCTTACGAAATTTGTTAGGTGTTGGGTAGGGAAATTCGAACCGAAATATGGTGGAATTTGAGAGGGATAACAATAGATTTTGGGGTTATATGGATTTATTAACTGTTGGGTTCTGTTTATGCTTTCTATAATACCATATTAACTTATTGTTTGTTGTTGCGTGCTGCTTTAAGACTGGGCTTATGAACTCTTTTTAACGATAGAAGATACGATGTTTAAACTCAAGAAGTTGGCTTAACGGTCAATTTGATATGCAACATTGGATTGACAGTTCTAGATCGATGTTGACTTATATCTGCTGGATCGGCTGAAGATTGTGGGCATTGTTGAAATTACCCGGTCTTCAATAAGGGGAGAGCATGGCAGTTATTTAGAAGGGACCATATTTCACATAGTTGCCCCATTCTATAATCGTTAATAAGAAAAAGTTGACTAATTGCGGGTAAAGGGTTATAGCTAAAGCTAAACGTGGTGATTAGGTTGATAAGGGGCTTATCCTTTTTTGTTTTGTTGTTTTGGATTGAATTGGAGGTTTTGCTAAAAGATAACGAAAGCAGAAAACAAAATGTAAAATAGAGTGAGCAACAGAATTTAATTGAATTGGTGTGTTCGTTTTGATTTCATGTTTTCTAGAATCATAAAATATGTGCTGAAAGTGATGTTGACAATAAGATGGTTTTAGGTTTCGGGTATGTAAATTGTTTAAGATTTTTGCTCTCTCTTCATGTTGAAATCATAGTTTTCCAATGAAGTGAACCATCTTTCGTTAATATGGATGCTGCTTACATTGCCAACAACCTCTATAGAATCAGCATTCACAGTTTGAATTGGAGAATTAGGGTTCTTCACAGGTTCTTTGTCTTTGGGCAATGGTTATGTCAAAGAATGGGGGAACGGAAATGTACATAGTTCCATAATGAGATGATTTGTGGTCTTTTGATTATGTGCTCTATTTTATGCACATACATTATATTCTTTTCATAATTATGGCATACTGCTACTGGGAGTTGTGAAATTGTAATCTCTTGACGTTGTTAGGAGCATAGATTGGATGGGAATGAAAATGAAAAATGTACAAGAAACAAGAAATGGCTCTCGTGTCTCTGTTTTAAAAAAAAGATGTATAATATTGAGTAGTAATAACAAGGACATATCAGGCATCACACACAAAAATGGCTTTTGTCTTTTGTGATAACTGTTTCCTTTCTGTTAAACTGGCCATGAAAGACATGTTTTTTGTTCCTTTATCAAGTCTCCTGGAAGCAGATTGTTTTAATTATAGATTTTTTTTTTTCACATTCTTCATTTAATTAAAATTGTTCCCCTTTCTTTTTTCTCCTTGCTGATTTGTTCAGCTGCTTAAATGGATCTGGAGACTGAAAACCGGCTAGCTGCTCTTCTTATGAGAGAAGCAGCTGAGTTGCGACGACAGGCTGAAAAGGAAGGTGTTCTTGCATATCTTCAACAGCCTAATAAACGTCATCGGCCAAATTCACGCTTCCTCACAGCCACTGTACTTGGGGTACAACAAGGTGGGTCCTATTTGCTGTTTTAGAAATATAACTTGGTCATTGTATAATTTGTATTTGAATTTTATTAAATACAACAAGTTTTATCCCATTAGGTTGAGTTGTTCACATAGATTGCACGATATCATTGTGCTCTGTCTACAACCTAATCTTTGGACATATTGTTAACCAAAGCAAGCCATTTTTTAATGACTCTTTTCTTACCCAAGACCATTTACACTTAATTTTCCTTTCTAATGGTTTGTAGAACTTCTGGATAAGTACCGGTGACAAAAATGTAAACTGCTTCCTTTTTATGAATTGTTTGGTCGGAAGCAATTTAACACCCCATCTCACATTTCCGCAATAATAACTATCCACTTCTTTGTGACTTCTGATTCATGGACCTGCTGAGCATTTGTGGTTTAACCTCTGATTGTATCAAATATGCCTATTTCTGATTTGATATCTCAGTCTGCGATCAAGTTTGAAGTGGGTTCTCTTGTTAACTGTATGTATGCAAATCATGATCTATTTCTTGCTGATATTTTAACTGAGACCTTGTTGTCTTTGCAAAGTAGTAGCATGCCGTTCAATCTTTGATTATTTTAAGAAGCATGAGAAAAATATTATTACATTTGCTTCAAGGTATCATATGAGCCGTTTTCTTTTTACGTGCTGGAACCGACCAGTATTTGGTACAAATCATCAGAGGAATCAGCCCAATAATCTCAATATTTAACCATTCTTAAGATTAGAAAGTGCTGGCAACTTTATTAGCTAGAGGTGATTGAGTTGTCAAGCCTGTTGCAATTGAAATTTATTTATTTTTTGAGGAATTTGAAAATCCTCCCGTGTGTGTGTTTCATTGTTATTGTGTTGAGCACAAACATTTTTTGTCTTGAGCTGCTAGTTTATGTTCTTTTCTGTTTGTGCTTCTTTCTTTTATTCTTTTTCAGCAAATCGGGCTGTAGAAGTAAATGAAATGTGGCGAGTGCGGCAGAAAGAATTAGATCTTGATAAAAGGCGTGAAGGTACATCTAGAGATCAAAACTCTGGCGACAGAAGCCGGAGGGATGGTAGCTCATCAAGAAGCACTGGAAGGTTTGCCATGGATGATAATAATGCTACTCCCTCTGCTTCATGCTCTAGTAAAGGAGAAACTGACCATTGCCCAGAAGGTTTAAGGGATGAAGAGCTTGAGATGTTTCTAAACTCTAGGTTAATATATTATTGCCATTTGAATGCCTTGATTTTGACTGGCTGATTTTCTAAGTTTTTAACTGATGAAACTCCATCTTTGCAGGACCAAGCGAGGCAGAGGAGCCATTGGTCCGAGGATGGACGAGACTGGTCCTTACCTTCCACGCCACTCTGGTGAGGAGCCAAATACAAGTTCTGACGTAAGCAACCGCCGTGTATATGGTCCAGAAAGGCCTGCATCTCTGAAGTCATATGAATCTTCTGAAGAGGAGGAGGTCCATGTCAAAAGAGGGAAAAGGGCTAAAAAATCTCACTCAGGGAGCTCAGACAAGGAGCATTCTAAGAAGCACAGATCCAAAGAGAACTCGAAACATAAGAAAAAGAAGAGGAAGGAAAAAGGAAGCAAGCATGGCCTCTGAGATGTATTCTGATATTTGGTAATTTACAAGAAAGTATTGCAACTTGCACGTTATGTGTGCCAAACTGTCAAATTTCGATTACACGCATGCCTGACTGCTTGCTAGATATTTTCTGTAACATCAAATGCCATATATTTACAGCTAGTGACCTACCCTCTAACCTTGAGTGTCAATAAATTGAGTCATCTCTGAAAATTCTGGATATTCAAATTTACATATTGTTCACCATCAAGATTTTCACATCAGTATTGAGATTTGATCACATAATGTAGGTCAAACTCTTGTTAACTAGCTCAATTTTTATTAATAATTTAGCTTGATCTTTATTACATGAAATGCTAGAAACTGTTGTAAGCCCCCTACGAACTGGGGGGGTTCGGGACCAAGAGACGCAATTTTAGATCATGGCCCATTTTGTCTTCTTTATTGTACAATAGAACTGAAGAAAGTATTATTATTGTAAATTTTTTATATTTAATTTAATTAATTGCCAGCTAAAGTACTGCTGGTGATAGATTAGACCTTGGAACCAAAGATCCTTAAGTAGGTCATGGCAATGTGTCCAAAAGTCTTCCTGGTGACCATGTCCTCAAGTTGACCAAGAAATCTATCACGGTCCATGGACTCTGCCTTCCAACTCTTATCCTAATTACCTTGCTGTTCATAGTCGGAAGCTGGAAAGGTTAGTAATTCACATCATCACTCACTTATTGGATTTGAAACTCTCCTCTTTGCTTTCCATTTTTTTTTTTATTTCAAAGATAGTATGGGGGGAAGATATTTTAGTCCTCAAAGTTTCAATTAATTTGCATTCATTCTGGTGTTTTAGTTGATATTGATATGGTTTCAACTTTCAAGATGTTGTAAGGGTTTATTTGGTTTCTATTTTTAAAAACTGTGTTCTGTTTGTAGGAAAAAAAAAAATCATTTGGTTGGTGTTTTGAATTTAAATATTTTTAAAACTATTTTGATTTTTTGTTTTGGAAACAAACTATAGTTGTTTTCGTTTTATATTTTCAAAACATATTAGATTTAAGTATTGAAATTGATCTTCAGTTATGATCAACCATTATCATATACTATTATTGTTAACCATTGGTAACCATCACTATTAATCACTTTTTTAACTTCAAAATTATTTTTAAATTAATATAATCAAGCGGATTTTTCATTTACTTTTGTTTTGAAAAATAAATTTTTAAAAAGTGATTTATAAAATAGTTTTTAAAAACAAAAAATGAGAACAAAACTGAACAAGCTCAAAATAAAAAGTTTCAAAATATCAAATAATTCAAATTCTCTAGTAAATAGCAATATGGAAGTTTATTAGTCAACAACAGAACAATGCATTTTTGTTGAAATTTTGTTTGACATTTATGGTATTTAAGGTATAATTTGTTTTGAAATTATAGGGACTAAATTAGTGTCAATAAAAATAAGGATTAAATAATGAATTGAGTAAAACTTTAATACTTGGTTTGGATGAAAGGAAAAGTGAGAAAAAAAATAGGGAACAGAAAAAACAAAAAAAAATTCCAAAAATAATAATTTTTATTATTTTTATAAGTTTTTCTTGGGAGAATTATATTAAAGTCCCATACAAAAAAATTAATTATTATAAGGTTTATTGACAACTGAACTAAATTATATTGACAATACAATCAATTGTCAATACAGTTTAATTCAGTTGTCAATGGACCTTACAGTAATTAATTTTTTTGTGTGGGACCTAATTGTAATTCTTCCTCTTTTTTTTTAGTTTTCATTCCTCTCTATTTGTCTCTTCATCTAAATGAAGAGTAAGGATCAAAAACCCCATTTCCCTTAATTTTATGTCTCTCTATTCACACTCTCATCATCTCATATAAAATATTTTTTCATAAACAAATACTATTCCAACTTTCTCCTAGTAATTTTTTTAAAAAATTAAAAGGGTAGACACTAATAATTTAAAGTTATAAGTGGGATTGAACTCACACCTTCTTATTTATGAAAAAATATATATGTCATTAAGCTACATGGCCATTAGCCCTAAGGGCAGACCAAAGTTACACTTGGATTGGGTATGGCTTTCTAAAGGGAAATTTACTGCTTTGACCCCTTAATTTTTCATTTTTAATTTTTATCTTAATATTTTCATTGTGCATTCCTCATTTCCTGCACCTGCTCATGTGGCCTTTTCACTCAATGAAACAAATCTCTATTTTAACATGAGTTATTCTTATTTGTCTCTCTTCATTTGTATTAGTAATAGTAGATAAAAATATAAATGCATTATTAATTTATTTACATTTTTATTGTTAATCATTTTTATAAATCATGAAAGTGTGAATTTTTTATCGAACAAGACTGAGCATTTTATACTTAATATACTTTTATCTAATCAAATCAAAACAAGTGAATTTAAATATATTAATAATATTAATAATAAGAGTTTATTATGATATAAATAATCTATAAAGAATACACATTGTCTTTATTTAATTAGAACAAGCATATTAATTATATAATTTTTCTTTCTTTATAATCAAGTTTTTCCTTTTTTATATATTATTTGCAAAACCTTTTTCCTAAATTTTATACAAAATTTCAATGTTAATTATTAAAATTTATTATTGAAAAATTTTATATAAAAAAATTGAAGGTCAACTATCTTACAGGTAAATCTTAAATTTTTAAATATTAATCAACTAATTTTATACTTGCCTTCTAAGTCAGATTTCTTGAGAGAGAGGGGGGGGGGAGTGGGCCCATAGTAGATATTGCCGCAATTTGGTGAATTTACTTCCAACCTAACGTCACACCTTTAATGTAGTTTATTGATAATCATTCTGCTTTTAATTTTGAACGGACCATTGTGGTGATTTGTGAATGCAACATTTTCAAATAACATCTGTCGGTGGCAGCAAAGAAATTAAAGGGGGATCACTGGTTCAAAACTGTACTTTCTAGCAGCAATGATGAAGATTGAATTAGAAGAGTGGAATGTAATTTTAATGATATCTTATTTAGGTTAGTTGGATAAGAGGAGAAAAAATGTTCAATGATATCTTGTTTGATTCAAGCAGAAGATGAGAGGAGAAAGGAGGGAAAATAATTTAATATGTATAGATCTACTCGTATTTTGTATTGGATTACATCCTTGATGAATTGGATTAAGTGAGCATGCCCAAATTAGGTCAAATAATTATTTGTTTAATTAAATAATTAAGAGGGAGCAGATATGTAATTCCCAAGATATCCTTATCATTAAATATGGGGTGTAGTTTTTCATTCAAAACATACTATCAATATACTTTCTTTGATCTTATTTATAAGTCACTTCTAGTATATTTTACTGGATTCAAAAAAAAAACTTTAAATCTTATTAACTTTATCTTAAAATTTAATAATTTTTCACTTTTACTCCTAATAAACGTTTTTAAATCACATTGTTGGTAAGCATTTAATAAGGATAAAAATGTAAAGAGGAGCATTGAGAATTTATAAATGCCCTATAAATAAGATCAAATTTTTTCTTTTCTCTCTACCCTATAAATAACACTAGAGGAGTAACTCTTTTTGCTTCACCTACTCTCTCAAAATCTCAAATTTGTCATTGTAATCTGGGATTTCTGTGTGGTAAAAGAGAAGTTTCATCAGTGCCAGGGCATGTTTTTTGGACACATAAGAACATTAATATTAAAGTAGAATTTTTCAACATCAACATTTCCAGATTTCAGTACTCTTTCTCTCATATTTCAGTATTTAAAGTTTAGATTTGACATTAATATTCTTATAAGGTCCTTACTTGTCATTCTCCCAAATATATATCATGGTTTAGCTAGTAGGATAATTTAGGAATATTGAAACAAATCATGAGTATATTAGTCAAAGACACAACTAAGAATTATCCATCCTCTCTAAATTCTTCAATTTTGGAGGAGAAGGTTGGCAAGGGAGAAAAAATTAAAAAATGTTTTTACAAATAAGGGCTCCCCTCCTCTCATAATTTATAAACGATCAACAATTAAATTCATTTATTCTCAGAGAAATTGTTAAAAACGGGCCAAATCATAAAGGTATTTATTAAAAAGAACTACAATTTGGAAAATCATTTTAAAAACCATGGCACTTAAAAAGAAATTAAGTTAGAATGAGATTTTGGGAAATGTGGATTTTGTTTTCAGTGTAATAAAAGTGTGTTTATCAAAAGTTTATTTATCAAAAATCAGTTTAATAAAAATTAATTATTGTAACAGGATGTTATAAAGCTACACTAACCATTGAGTTGGTTAAGGCACCAGTTCGCAGTCAATGGTAAGACCATGTCAAACCAGTCATGAAGACATTAATGTATTTTAAATCATGTGTTTAAAATAAAAGAAATAATCATCTATTATTATAAAAATGAATATTTAAACCCAACAGATAATACATAATAAAAATGAAAGGCAATATCCATCCATACTTCATCTTCTCCTATATATTTTTTATTAATTAATAATTTATAATTTTACAATAAATACGTATATAAATATATTTTTTTATATTTTCTCATTTTTATTTCCTTTCAATGCTTAGTAGGTATGTGTGTGTATGCATAAATTATAATTTTAGAAATATGAATTAAAATTTAAAAAATAATCAAAGCGAGAATTTCAATTAAGGACAAGGAAAAAGGCTTAATTTCAAGTGGATCCAAGAACATTCTGAAATTTTAATTCAATCTAGAAGAGAAAAGTCAAAAAAAATTTAGTAGTAAAAAGACTAAAATATCCTTCATTTGTTATGCAGAATCACCAGTTATTAATTTTTTTAATACACTTATTAATTTACTAATATCACTTATAAATTACATCTGTTTATCAGCCAATCAATAACATTAATTGCTAATTTATTAATTTTACTTATTAACTTACTAACATCAGTTGCTAACTTTACTTATTAATTTACTAACATCAATTATAACAAGTAAAGTTAGCAATTTAACAACTATTACTGGTTATAATTGAAAAACTAATATCAAATCTTATATAATTATTGACGTATTAACTCATATAATTTACAACTCATTTTTATAAATTAACAAGTGAAATATAAAAATTAACAACTAATGATTTTACATAATAAGTGAAAAGCATTTCAACTTTTTTATTATTAAAATTCTTTTAACTTTTCTTCTTTATATTAAATTAAAATTTCAGAATTTTTTGAATCCACGTGAAATT